TGAAGGTTCTAAAGCTCTGAAGAATCTCAAGTCAGATATTGATGTGATCAAGCTTCTGATTGATTATTGAAGTTTCTGAACTCGAGCAAAATCAACTCTTCTAACTCATGCTTCAAAAAACTTTTTATCCAGAAGCCACTGAAGAATAGAAGATAAGAACGAGTTTATACATGGGGAAAATAGTACATGGTACAAACAAATATTCCTTCCACTAAGCGGATTTCGTGGAGTAAGGAAATTGAGGTAGTACGATTCTTGTCCCCTCCGTATTAAACTGTTATTCAAGTCGCCCTCTCATTCATGAAGAATACCAGATCTGCCTTCCAACGGATCTTTTTTAATGGCTATATAAAGACTTGAAGACTTGAAGAAAAAGAGACACATGCAAGGATGTTGTCATAACATGTGCTAAAATTTTCTTTAAGTGTATTGTGTTTTTAACTTGTTTATATCTGCTTATATAAAAGCAATCTTTGTAAACACAACCTTGTAATCAAACAATTGTTTGTAATTCTTTGAGGGACCAATTAGGTCAGAATCCTTGAGAACACATAAACTGTGTGTCTTTGTGGTTGTTAGTCACCAGCGATTGCTAGTGCAGTTGTAATCAGTTGATTATAGTGGATTAAGTTCTTGGGTATAAGGAGAAATTACCTTGGTGGGTGGATTGGATTAACTTTGAGATTTTCAAGTGAACCAGTATAAAAATCAAAGCATATTTCTCTTTGTTGTTGAATAGCTGTAGTTTTTATTGAGTGAGTAAAAAACTTTTATTTTTGAAAACCCCAATTCAACCCCCCATTTCTTGTGTTTTTATCACCTTCAATTGGCATCAGAGCTCCGGTTCTGATTGTGATAAAATTTTATCAAACACTTAACCGTGTTCAGTATCGATCTAGTGTGTGTGTGTGAGAGAGAAATAATGACGGTTGCTACTATTCTAGTAGAGAAAAATCATTATAGTGCCAAACCACCAGTCTTTGATGGTGACAAGTTTCTTTCTTAGGTATGATGCACCTCCTCGACCCTCTTTGCCTCGCGAGTTCCTATCGAGGAACCTCGTTCCTTTGAGTGTATTGTTTCAAGTGCCCCTCTTTGATTATGATTTCGATGACATCCTTGAGGTGGACGCAATCTTCCGTGATGTGTCCATGACTCCTGTGGTCCCTACATTACTTGGACTTGTTGACGTTGGGCTTAGGGGGTGTCAACTTCGGGAAGCGGACAACACCTCTTTGGAACTCCTAGTTAATACACTCGGCCAGAATGTGCTTGCGGGGAGCCATGAGTAGCGTATACTCTGTGAATCGGCCTATTGACCCCCTTTTCTCCCAGGAGTCTCGGGGTCGATCCTCTCTCCTTCTCTCCCCGCCTCGTCGGGTAGCAGTGGCGTCTTCGTGCCTAAAATTTTTGGCACTATCCTGGTTCCATGAGTCGCGGGCGCAGTTGGCGGCTTCTCCTTGTACTGGATGTAGGCTTGAGCCTTATGAAGGAGCGCGTCTAGCATGTTATGCCTTTCGATGTCGACAGCCTTGGCGAACTCAGTGCGAGGTTGCAATCCTCGCTTAATCAGATACCTCTTCATGTCGTCCGAGGTAGATACTTGTGCAGCTTCTCAGTTGAATCTCTCTATGTAGTCACGAAGAGATTCTTCCTTCCCCTGAATGATGGCTTCCAGGGATGCTTCCGTCTTTGGGTATCGCCGGGAAGCGGTGAAGTGCCTGCAGAACTGCCTCTTCAGCTATCTCCAGGAGGTGAAGGATTCGGGCTCGAGGCTCTTATACCACACCATTGCGCATTTCTCAAGGTCGTAGGAAAGAGCCTGCACTTGATAGCTCCCTAGTAGTCGAGCACTGCATATGTGCTTTCAATGTAGTCGTCCGGGTCGGTCGTACCATCGTAGGTATTTAGGGTCGGGGGCATTTCCATCTCGAAGGGGAGGCGAGTCTCCATGATAACCCTGGACAACGGAGTGTGGAGGTCGTCCTCATCTATTCTGATGGGTGATTGTGAGGGGGAAGGGTCGTACTAAGGGCTCCTGTACGACTTGGAGGGCTCCTCGGACGACTCTTCGGTTTCCCAGTCTACCTGTCAACTCTGCTTTTCTTGGGAGCTAGGGAGCATCTCCCTTTCCAGGGAGGAGATTGGTCATGCTTCTGGATGGTCACAAACGGAGGCCTTTTCAGCCGCGGATGATGCCCAGGTTGTCGTAAAGAGGGGCTCTGAGACCCATCATGTTGCAGCCTCTGCGGGGGAGGGGAAAGACGAGTTTCTCGTCGTCATTGGGACGGGCTGCGAGAAACCGGGCGACGATGTCTCCATGGGGGAGAGTGTGATTTTCGCTCTTTTTCCAACATTCTGGTCCTCTCGTTCTATTGAAAGATCATCAAGTTTTTCTGGTTGATTGCTGTGAACAGAGCCAGCATGGTCGAGTCAGCGTTGGGCAGCACAAGGATTGACTGAAAGATAGTTGAGCTGTCGAAGCGTCAGGCGGCGTTGAAGGTCTCATCGTCGGGGAAGGGAGAGGCGGTGTGCCCGTCCATGGCGTTTCCTTCCTCGACGTGAACGGTCACATTAGGATCATGATCGTCGTCGTTGGTGAAGATGGTGAATGCGGTTTCTTGGACGTTGTCGTCAGTGTGTGGGCTAACCATGATCAACGGAGATTGAAGTATGCTTTGGTTCTTGAATTTCTTTGGAAGGAAGAACGAGGAAGCAAGATTCCCACAGATGGCGCCACCGATCTTACCGGATCAGAATAGGATCAGTGGCCAGCAACACATCGTGAGCTTCTTAATTCACCGGTGGTGGAGAAGATTAGGGGGTGTACCTGCAAGGTACTCCGATGCTAAAGTGAGAAATGGAGTAAGAGAAAAGGCAAGTACAGAAAGCTAGATTGTGAATAGAATATCTGACCCTCTAGTGAAATAGGGTATTTGTAATGTGCCCCAGCATGAAGCCAACAGTTACTTTGCATTGGGTTGGATCGCTAAGCCCAATACGAATAATTGTTAGGGCTTGCGTGACGTAGGGAAGACCAGCACGTGGTCTTCGCCCTGAGTCAAGTGCCCCATAATCTTCGGAAGGTGGATAGTTGTCTGATGATGTGTCCCCACGTGGGGGGAACGTGTAGTCCGTGGGAGAGACGCGTGAGCGTTCCCGTGTGATGTGATAAATTGGGCCCTAATTGAGCCCTCCCCGACAAAGAAGTGGGCTGGGTCGTGCCCATTAGTGGGGCAACCTCTGACCCAGTCCAAAAGACTTAATAACTATAAATATTTACAAATATCACTAATAACTATAAATATTTACAAATATTTTGTTGATTAAAATAAAAAAAGGTACCGTGGTGATAGTGTCCTATGAAAATAGTGAGTTTCACTAATAAAATTCACAGGAGTTGGTAGCCTGGTGTTTTCACTGTGATCCAATAGATTCTCCCGGTTTTCATCACTAATATCGTTCTACTCTACCTGTTATTGCCTTTGGTGAGCAGCTGAGTAGAGACACAAGTCTTTCTTCTCATGATGCATGTTTATTTATCACTTATTTTGGATGAAATAGTTATAGATGAGTCACTTAATTTTGATTAATGAAATATGTTATACATTAAAAGACTTGGATTATAAAGTTATAAATAAATTGAACTAACAAAAGAAAATTTGATATGGAACTAAATGGTTTAACTTCAAATACATTGCTAGATGCGGAACATTAACTCTCTGACAGCAACTTATCGGCTAAAAATGCATGTAGTTCAAAAGCACAAGAATGACCAGCTTAAGTCGGTTTCTTAAATGAAACTCTCATCTGGACAATTTCATAAAATAGCGTTCAAACAAAAAAACGTGAAAATCAATTGTGGTAGTTGCAGTAGTTGCTTACTCTTACAACCCATGGACAACTCAGGGACCTAAAAGCCCGAGTTCATTATCATAGCATGAACATTTATAACTCATCAATTCACAAGAAGCATCGGTAAATCAAATCCTATCTTTGTCATAAAATTGAGAATCTCGTGATTTCTATTATGTTACTACTCTTTCCGCTTCAAAATGACTGTCGTTTTAGGGGGAAAATTGTTTCAAAATGAATGTCATTCTCACTTTTCTCTTTCCGTTTCAAAATGACTGTCGTTTTAGGGGAAAAAAATTGTTTCAAAATGAATGTCATTCTCACTTTTCAATTTAGTAATAATTGTTGTTTTTTCAATTGTGTCATATAATTATTATTCTGCACACTATTTCTAACACATTAATGACATTAATTCAGTAAAAGTGCAATATTTTATGACAATATCGTTTCATTCTTTACTCTATATATAAAAATCTTAAACAACAATCATTTTAAAATAGATAGAATATTATAATAGTTTTATATTATTAGTATTATTAATTAAAACACGACTTAATTTCAAAAACAAAAATTCTAACATTTAAGAAAGGTGCCTCTCTTAAGTTGGGTAGGATCATGGATTAGCCACTTGTTGACAAACTTTTTAATTTATCTTAATTATTATAAAATTAATTTCGATTCAACTAAAATTAATTTCAGACATTTTTACATAAAAATAAAAATAAAATAATTTCGACGATGGTTAAATTTAAATTATGTAGTTAAAACAAGTTAACATGAGTTAATTAGTAGCATTTATGATTATCCATAAATAAGTAAGGATGATTTCATTTAAACTTAACCTCATCACATATATATAATTGTATGATGAAAATTTATTCTTCAAATTTGTATCTCTGTCATAGATTATATATGGTGAATATTATAAATTGTTTCACTATTATATATGATAGAACAACAAAAAGGAAAATGGTAAATTGCAATTTAAAAATATTTATCAGCATGAAATCTTAGTTTTGCTTTTGTAATAAAAGCGAATGTACAACAGTTTACATTTCATAAGACAAAAAGAAGATTTTTGTTTCCCTGTGATGCATCAGCTTTGAGACTAGGATATCTAATAAAGTTGCGGATCATATTTAGATTTAGTAACCAGCAATGATTGGTGGAGGTGGTGAAGCATAGGAAGAACCAAAGTCAGGGGGGAGAATGACTTCCTCATATTCTGGAGGTGGTGGTGATTGAACTGGAGGTGGAGAGTGGACAGGTGGTGGAGGTGAGAAAACTGGTGGGGGTGGGGAATGGACGGGTGGAGGTGGAGAGTGAACTGGGGGTGGTGGGGAGTGTACTGGAGGTGGTGGAGATTGGACTGGTGGAGGAGGAGAATGAACTGGAGGAGGTGGAGAGTGGACTGGAGGTGGTGGTGATTTTACCGGTGGAGGTGGGGAGTGGACTGGAGGTGGTGGAGAGTGGACAGGAGGAGGAGGAGAATGTACTGGTGGAGGTGGGGAGTGGACTGGCGGTGGTGGAGAGTGAACGGGAGGTGGTGGAGAGTGGACGGGAGGAGGAGGAGAATGTACTGGTGGAGGTGGGGAGTGGACTGGCGGTGGTGGAGAGTGAACGGGAGGTGGTGGTGAGTGAACTGGTGGAGGAGGTGAATGAACGGGAGGTGGTGGAGAGTGAACTGGTGGAGGAGGTGAATGAACGGGAGGTGGTGGTGAATGAACGGGAGGTGGTGGAGAGTGAACTTTTGGAGGAGGTGGAGATCTTATTCTTCTTCTGGGTGTTTCAGTGTGGGGATCATCTTCAGGTGATTCTGCTTCGGGTGTAGGAGGGGTTGGTGTATGTTCTGGTTTTGGTGATTCCGGCTTGTCTTTAGATGGGGTAGGGGTTGGTTCGGGCTTATCACTTGATGGAGTTGGGGTTGATTTGGATGGTGTCGAAGGAGTCGGGGTTGGTTTAGGTTCCGGCGATGGTGGACTGGGTGGAGGAGTTGGCTTGGGTTCCGGCTTATCACTTGGTGGTGATGGAGTTGATTTATCACTTGGTGGTGATGGTGATGGAGTTGTTTTATCACTTGGTGGTGATGGTGATGGAGTTGGTTTGGGTTGTGGAATTGGTGTTGGAGTCTCACTTGGTGTAGAATGTGAAGGTGAAGGTGAAGGTGTAGGTTGTGGCTCTGGCTTTGGCACTGAAGGTGATGGGTTGTCACTTGGAGTTTCTTTTTGATCATTTCCATTACCATGAACACATTGTGCCTTGCTACAATCAACAGGTTTACTTATAACCACATTACAATCATTTGCTGACTTCTGTTTAGGTCTGTCCGGCATACAGTTATCCTTATCCTCCAACAAAACCTCCTTTCTTGGAGGCACACAACCTTCTTCTTCACCATTAAAATAATTATAAGAGAAGGTAAAGTTCACCAAATTAGGCAAACTACACACGCTTTTCGGAACAAAACCAGTCAGATTATTATGCGCAATAGCCAACATTTCCACTTTCTGCATTCCCTTCAATGTCCTCGGCAACACGCCAACAAACATATTTCCACTCACATCAAAAACGGTTGCTGTTTCAAGCTTTCCAACTTCAGAAGGTAAACAACCGGCTAGGTTGTTGTTCGTTACAACAAACTCATCCAAAGTGGTTTTCATTTCACCGATGCTTGAAGGGATACAACCAGAGATGTTGTTATTGGCCATAATAATAACAGATGCCGGAGATTTTCCCAAATTGTCTGGAATTGTATGTGTAAATCTATTGTTGTTTAAGAATATCCCGTCGAGGTTTTTATTAAAAAGCTCGGGCGGAATTTCTCCTTCGAAATTATTGTACCGAATATCCATAAATTTGATATCCGGAAGGCAAAGAATAGAATGAGGAAATCCTCCAACAAAACGGTTGTTACTGATATCCACCTCATGCAAAAGTCTTAACTTGCAAAAACTTTTCGGAATGATCCCACAGAACCTGTTTGTGTTAATGTGAAAGAGAGCCAGATCTGTTAACAAACCAATCTCACGAGGAATGTAACCTGCAACGTCTGCATGATTAAAATCAATCCCAGCTACAACTTCCATTTTCGAATCATTAAGAGAAGGTGTACAAAAAACTCCCTCGTAAGAACAAACATCCGCCCCTACCCAATTCTTGGTAATGCCTGTTGGATCAGAATAAATAGCATTTTTCCATGCGTGAAGCGCTACGTAAGCGCGTTTAAGATTAGGATTAGGAAAACTGAATTCTGTTTTAACAGTTTCCGCGTAATTTTCAGGTAAGTCCTCGTTTTCTTCTAGGTGTGTCAATTGACGACGAGCAATATCAGATGCTTCTTCATTGGAGATTGCGTGGGAGAGAAAAGATGTCGAAGAAAAGAGAAGAAACAAGAGAAAGCAGCCGGAGGCTTGCATTTTGTGACAATGCAACCAGTATAATTATCTTGAGAGAAAGAAAGAAAACTTGTGTTTTAAGCCATTTACGAGAGGCTATGCAAATATTTCTGGAACCACAATGGGAACAAGCTTTATACAAAATGCTGGTGACATAAAATTAGAAGGTTTGTTTTTTGTCTCAAATTCTCAACCCAGCGTTGTCGTGTGTCTAATTTTAGAGGGTGGTTTCAACCATGGTTTTGTTAGGCTTAATTTGGAAGCTAAAAGTTTTCATTACCTAAATTTGCGATTCATGTAACAATGGTTAATGCATATTAGAGGTTAATATCTAAGCGGAAAATAAACCTATGATTATTTGAATATGGTTTTGATTTTCTAAATTTGGAAGTGTTTCACAAACACTTCTATTTTCCCATTTTCTCTCTAGTGGTTGCTTGTTTTGCTATATATAACTGAATTTTACACAGGTGACAAGTTTCAAAAATTATTTTGGTCACTTACTAGTAATTTAGTGTTGCTTAAAGAGATATAAATTGGACAATCTTGAAAAGAAGAAGAAAAAGTTGTTTGCATGGAATGTATGGATGCAGTTCAACAAACACGTCAATAAATTAAAATATACGTTGCATCAAAACGCAAAAGTTCAAACATACGATCCAAACTAATAGTTGTTCAAATTTTTTTCAAAAAGAATAATTAAGATAATAGTTTTACTAAAATAGTCATATTTGTTAATAAACATATGAGAAGGCTCTAAGATTTAATTAAATTTTGGTAAAATATGACAAGATATAACATGAAGAAATCTATAAACAATAACATATCAGACAAGATGTCTTATCTTGTGGGCTCGACATCTTGGTCTGATACAACAAATTTGTTGCAGATCTATTCCAAGATGTAAGGTGTAATTAGAACATGGATTCAGGAATGATTGGACAAATATTTCGAAGTCCATGGACTGCTGAAGATTATAAAAGAAAGACCAAGACCTAGAGGAAAAAGTGATTCCTTGTTAAGACTTTTGTAAAGTAAAAATAAGGGTTTAGGGTTTTGAGGGTCGTGAGACTTTCTTGTGTTGTAAGTCACCCTTTGTATCAGGTTTGATATATTGTGGTAGACATAGTTTTCAAATTCATAAACATGTAGGTTATGAATTGTATATTGTTCTTGGATAAAGCTTGTAATCAAATTCAAGTATTATTTGTTAGTCATTAGTATTGGCTGAATATTGTATTGAAGGAGTTGTCTTTTAACTGAACAGTTTGATATAGTCACCGGAGGTTGTGACTGTTAGATGTCACTGATGTTATTTAGGAATTGAGATGAGTTTCTCTTATCTAGATGGGTTTCTAGGGTAGAAGTTGCACTGGGTAGGGATTAAGTGAGGACTTGTTAAGCGGAGGTTGTTTAACTCTGAATTAATACTACTGATAGTGAATTTATTCCTGACTTGGTAGCCCCCAGATGTAGGTGTTGTTGTACACCAAACTGGATCATCATATCTTGGTGTTATTTATCATTATGTTGTATATTTCAGTTACTTTTGTACTCTCAAACATATGTTCAAATAGATGTTGAAACATCTGTCATGTCACTGTTTTGACCTTGAGTTATCTGAATGTTCTTGTTCTGTCCTTGTTTAGTTAAGCAGAGATCAATGTCTCGACATCTCTTGGGACATCTGAGATTTGCATACCAGAATTTCAATTGGTATCAGAGCAGACATCGTGTTCTGTTTCTGGATGAGTTCTAGGGAAGATACTTTCTGGTCTTTTGAATAAGGAAAAAGATTATGTGATCAGGCTATCCATTACTGTTGTGTTCAAGGGGGTTGGAAGCTCGGAGGATAGCTTTCTGAATCCGGCTTGACAACTTCTGTTGGTTGATTGATACTTTTGTGTAGATTCTTCCGTTGCTGCTGATAATGATGTTATTGTTACGCATGCTGCCTTTTAAATTTTTTTGACATCTATCATGGCTTGCTGAAGATGGTGTCATCCTCTCTAGATGTTCTTGTCATCACTAGCTGAAAGTTATTTAAAGGAGCAAGCATTATGATCTATCTTCCTCTGAAAGATCTTCCTATGTTGCTTGAGAGGCGGTGTCAACCAGTTACCATGAAGGGCAATAGGAGGAAAAGGTTAAGTTGAGGTCTTGTTCATCAAATCCATGATCTATGGATTTGGTAAACACTTTATGCCATGTTTAAAGGTTGTTGCTAGAGTAAGAAGGAGTGTCTTATGATATTTTGTGAGTGAAGAATACAAAATTGAGATCTAAAATCAATTGCTATTTGTGGCCTTAGCAAGTTTTTAATTGATTATCATTTTGGTTGGTGTTCAAGAAAGATGATGTCAAAATGTCACATCTGAAGGTGCATCTTCAGACAGTTGCAAGAACTCAAGAACCTTTTATATGTACCTGATTTGTCTTAAAGAATGGATATAGTCGGTATCATCTGTGGAGTTCTCATTAGGTCCTTATCTTGTCCTTAAATGTAATCAAGGTATGTAGCACTTGTATTGACTTTAGAACCAATTTCAATTATTTGTTCATGGGAAAAAGAACTGATGTTCAACTAGATGTTGAAACATCACTTCAGAAGAGTGTGTGCAGAATCTTGTTGATCAAAGGAGTGAACTTCTCGAAAAAAGGAGGGATGTAGCATATTTTCTGTATGATAAAAAAATGTATGTTTATCAATGGTGTTGGGAATCTTCTATAGATTGGTCTTGAAGAGTCATTTGGCTTGATGTCTAGGAAGTCTCTATCCAAGAAACTTGTTATGGACAGGTGCGCTGGTGGAAGTCAAGATTAACTCATGGTTATCTTGATGAACATTCTTTGGGTTAGTTTATTTCTAATCTAAGCGCATAGGGGCGCATAAGCTATGTTCCTGTATCTTCTATAGGAGTATGTGTTCTACTCCCTAGTGAAGGACTGTGAAGACATTTCTATCAGATTTTGTGTATATGGAAGACAAGGGAAAATGTCTAGGACATTCACCCTATCATCTTGGAGACTCTTCTGGTCTTTCAAAGCTGGATCTGAGTGATCTTCATATATTTGTGTCTATCTTATGAGGTTAGGTGTGGACTCTGATCGGGTGTGGATAATTCTCTTGGAGAATTATGCTTGAAGCAAACTATCATCATGTCAATGAACTCTTGTTCTGTTGTGGTGAAGAAGTTCTTCATTATGAGATGGTGTTTGGAAGCCTAAAAGGGATAGATCCTCTATACTGTATCAGATAAGACGGAACTCAGTATGGTTCATCAATTGGCTAGCCAAGTCATTGATGTCATTCTAGTATCCTGACATTGTGCTGAACATCAGAATGCTCATGCTAAAGGCAAAAAGTATGCACTGAAGTATTTTTTGTTAAAGGTTGGTCTCTTTAGGCTTAGGTGCTCTTCATCTGAATGGCTAGTGCTAAAGTCTATCTCAACCTTTGTAAATCATGCAATGACAAAAGCTCAAGGGAGTTGCTTGGTGTATTCATACCTTTTTCTTGGAGTCTCATCTAAGTTATTTGGTATGAGTGATCCAAATTTGTATCTGGAGTAAGAAGGTCTTAACACTGGAAGTTCTAGTCCTGTTGTGGTTTTCTCTTGATCAAGGACCCTGTGAACGGGTTTCTTATTGGTATCTTTGGAGGAAGATGTGTCAAATAGCCATAGGTATTGGTGAAAGCCTCAAGGAACTGCACACTCAAGCTTGTTGCAGGAACATTAGCATTTTTACATGCGTATGTACTTCATCTTATGGAGTTATTATGGTCTTTCAAGGTGGAGTTTTGAAGGATAGAGGACTGGAGGGCAGAAGAGAATCAGATCTCACTGAGAAGTCTATGTGTGGTATGATGCTCAGTCTATACCTTAGTGATTATTGTCAAACTTGCTGATATCTGTTAGAGGGAATCTTCTATTTGGATGCATACAAATGGGTGCTGACTCTGTAATGTCAGACAAGATGTCTGAACATTGTGCTTCTGAGTTGAAGCTTCATGAGGCTTGTGAGAGTTTATCTCACTTTGTGGTATTCTGCCTTCTTTGATGGTCTACCAGTTGCTGCAGTTGTGATCTATTGGGATCCTCATGTGTTTATTGCAAAGGTAAGTGTATGGACTATCATGCAAATAGTTATTTCTATGGATGTTGACTCCAATACCAAAGTAGATAGCTCATACGACTGAGGTTGATGTATTAACTAGTGCTTGAAACATCATCTTAGTTGATTACCTCTCCAGAAAGGAAAATTGTTCATTCATGGGAGATATTTTGGGGTTCATGGTGTGAAGTTTGTTACTCACCAGTTGATTCAGAAGTGAATTATCTATTCATTGTGGAGTATGGTCAAGACTGTGCAGATTCTGACTATCTGTGAGTAGACGGTAGGTTCTGCTGGAAGTATCTCTAGAAAAGATTGTATCAGGCTGAGTCTTGAGAAGGAAGCAAGCTAAGGATGTATCTTTCTTCATATGGTGAAGGGGTTTGATGTCTTCCAATTATGGATGATATCTTAGTTAACCAAATATTTAAGAGAATTTTTATGTCTCGTTCAGGGATGTGAGCATTCTAGGTTTGATTGGATATTTTTCTCAAGGAATAGGGTTTTCTATGGCTGTAAGGTTCAAGATGGGTTTGTATAGTGTATGAATGTGTTTAGGGGGAGAGTGATCAATGGTGTTATTCGATCTCAATCCAAGAGTTTATTGGTCATGGTACAAGAATTGTGATTCTTGTCTTATGAGCATGAAGGTGTTCGTGTGATTCATGTGAGATTGTTATGTCATACCAAATGTATTAACATCTTGTGTGTTGATACTTTAGCTTAGTAAGTTCTGCTTGTGAGCTTGACTTGTTAAGGCTATTGAATTATTTCAACTATGTTCTTGATTCTTAGAAGAGACCTGAGATACAAGATTGGATATTGTTTGGGAGAATTTATATTTCTCTACAGATTGGGATAAGGGCCATGGAAGCTTGTGTTGATAAATGGGAGATGTCACATAT